TTTCGGGGATGTAGCTGGCCAGACATCGTTTACAGTAGGTGTGGAGACAGGGGAGAATCGTTGGATCTTCAAAATCTTTGAGGCAGATGGAGCAGTTGGTGAAATTTTCTCGAATTTTTGCCCTCAAACTTCCGTCTTCATCTCCGATTGAAGCTGTCGCCATTTCAAAATGAGCAGTGCGTCACATGTGTCATTGATTAGTGGATTCTCCTTTTTCTGTTCGATCTAGCTAGTTTCTAAACATCTTCGAGAAATCTAAAAACATTGTCTGTTTATCCTTATACTGCAGAGCTCGCAAGGTGACTGAGAGTAAGTTTGAAGTACAAGTAAACATGTCTCTCGTGTGTGTATTTTAGGTCTTTTCAGCTTGGTCCAGCTAGCTGATTAACCACCAAATGAAAACAATACTCTTTGCTCATCTCTATCTCGCTTTTCCTTTCTTTTTTTTTTCACAGGCGTGGGAAGTCAGTTTTCCTCTTTTGACACCGCATTCGGACTGAACTTGAATCCGTTTAGGCCTACTTCCGTTGAATTCTGATCATAGTATCCTAAGACATCGTAAGAAACTAATAGTGAAAGTGCTCTTGGGTAGTTTGGATTGATGATTTAGAACAAAAATGGACTGGTATAATTAGTTCCAGGAAAAATGCAGTTTACCCGGGTGAAATTAGTTTTCTAAGGGAATTTGCACCTTTTTTAGAGCTTACCATACCTGTCTGTTTATCCTAATCCTACACTTGAGTAGCATAATAAAAATCCGATCAAATATTAAATCGGTTAAGATTTTTTTTTGAATTTCAAGAGGCACATACAGTCGCTGTGACGAAATTAAAAATGAAAGATTATGATGGAATCGCCTTAAAACGAGAGCTGCCTACCCTACACGCCACTTTATAAAACAATCCAGGGGCGGATCCAGGATACATGTAACTTAAAGGGGGGTCCGCGGATGCGAAGTCGACCCCCCCCCCCTCCTTGGCGTGGGGTTTGGGGCCCGCTGAGTGCGAACAGTGCCATTTGGTTCGGTTAAGAACTGATTCAGCCAGTCAAAATTCTGATTTCAAGAGCGGACCATTGGTGTGGGTTTTTTTTTCAGAAAGCGAAGGGGGGGGGGGGGGGGGTCAGGACCCCTTGACCCCCTAAATCCGCCTCTGCAATCCATTGCAATTTTGTATATTAGAGCCAGGTTTCATAGGGAAAACATCAAAAGAATAATTCGGTAGGTATAGGTACTCCAATATTAAGTAAGAATATTGTAGTATTATGAAAAGCGTTTTATTTGTTTTTAGGTTCATCGGTAGATGAAGACATTTGTTAACGGGATTTTAAAAGCGATCTGTATACTGTTTCCCGTTCTAGGGTTTTTTAAAACTTTTAATGCTGAATTCCGGGGTTCTCTTTTTAGCCTTGATTTTATCAGAAACGCGCACATTTGGTGAGCAATAAAAAAAAAATAAAATAAAATAAAATAAAAAAATTAAAAAAAAGAAAGAAAAGAGAAAAAAAAGAAAGATAAAAAAAGAACTCTTAAATTTTATTAAATCCTACAAAGGTCCATTAAATTTCAAGAAATTTGCCGGATTTTTCAGTTATCTTAGTCACTTTTCATAAAAACGTCGCGAAAAAATTGTCAACTCAAACACATTCCTCCTTCGCTACTTCCCTGATCTGCGGGGGCTCAAGTCCGGTGAATGCAGTGCCCACTCAATGTCACATTTTCTGGTGATCAGTTTCTCCTGAAATCGCTCTCTCAGTCAGGCTAAGGAGTCATTTGATGTGTTGGGGGTGACCTTGTCTTGCTGGAATCAGTGTCGTCTTGATCTTTCCCCCTGCATCGTCCCAGTGATGTCCAAAACTTCCATGGCACTGCCAAATAGCGAATCAGGAGACTGTCTGACATGACTATATATTATCAAATAGAACACAGTAACTTAGAGAAATACCAAAGGATATGTTTCATATTTACCGAAAAAATGATATACGGACAGATTTTTCTTCTTTGTTTCTGGCTATAAATATACATTAGCAGTCTCATTTAATACATGTAAGTGTGCAAATGCGCTCGTAGCTACATGTATACATCTGTACTACATAGAAGTAAGAGTGATGGTTATGCAAAACGCGCCCAGCACTACGTTATTTAGCGGACCTTTATGAACTGGAGAGACAGACAAATAAGACAATTTACGACCAAAAGGTGCAATTTTAACATGAGATGAATTTGGTTTAAGACTTGGCATGGTGACTTGATTTTTTTATCGTATAAGAAACTATTAGGCGTGGTTCATTTGCATTACTGGAAATCAACGGTCGCTTTACACATTTGTGTATCTTACGGAATAAATGAAGATGTCAAAATACTACATGCGACTAAAATGAAAAGCACACAATGCTTCCAAGAACCAAGGGCAAACTTATGTCAAGTCTAGTTAAATTGAAGAAATACACAAAATTCACGTTTCAAATTTCAAATGCTATCATCTGTATTTCAATACAATTTTACCGAATATTTATGGAAAGCCGTTTGTACGAAAAAGATGAAAGTATCATTTTGATCAGAAAAAAATTTAGCGAGGTGCTAACATCTTTTTGAGATCGTCACTTTCATCATTTTGACAAGAAATTTTATTTTTTGCGAGGTGCTAACATCATTTTGAGATCGTCACTTTCATCATTTTGAGAGAAAGGTTTTTTTACAAAGTCGTTTTATCATTTTGCATGTCGAGTTATCGTTTTGAGATACCGACATGCTTTGCGCGAGATGACGCAATACCATGGGTCGTCTCATAACAAACGGTGGGAAAAGGAACTAACGCATCCGAGGCTGGTTCCCGGTTCACCGTCAACAAAAAGTTGTTAGTGCCTGGCTACAATCCTTATAATTACCCCTTCGTCTCTGAATTTGGCCTTCAGGTGTCCCAAATCAGCTCCCCCCAGGACTTGATCCATATTGAGTTTCGTTTTCCATTACATGTTGGACATTTCTATCAAACGGAAATGAAAAACGGCCGTTTTTTCATTTTCTGACGACATGGAAAAGGGGGGGGGGGGGGCTACAAGTAATTATTTTTCTTTCTGTATCGCCGCATGCAGTATGATCCTATCAAATGAAAGTGTGTATGAAAGGTACTCTAAAAATGCTGTTAAAATTTGCAACTAACAGCGCATTCAAAACAGATCATCAGTGGACTAACTTATCCGCCTACTAAATATGGCCGACCCCATTTAAGAGCAAGCCGCTTAATTCCCCAATGGTCTCTCCGCCTCCACAAGTGCCCTTAAACAGATTAAATCTCGGCTCTGAAGTTTAATTGGTAGGCAGCGACGGCCCGTGTGGAGGCAGTAGACCTACAGGGAGACCCTTAGGGGATTAGCGTCATTACTTTTAGGTGAGTCGGCCATATTTATTCCGCAGATCTGTTAGTCTGCAGATTACCTTGTTGCGCTCTGAGAGCGGACTTACAAATCCGCGGATCAAATATGGCCCGCCAACCTGAATGCTTGCTGCGTACTTCCCGCGGGGAATTTATTCAGTGTCTAATCGGTAATCAAGCGGCAAGTTTGTTTTTTTTTTTTAGGTTTTTCGTACTTAGTTGTTTCTGGTGATACATTTCTTATTTTCTTGTATCATGTTCCAAATATGTTGTATTGATTCATTCCTGGTAAATAAAAGCTGACACAAGGACGTCTTAGTAATAATTTAAACTGTAACTCGAGGGTTTTTGCGTCATGGCTAAAACGTAACGTATGTTCCCTAGAAAATTGTCCGACAAAAGAGGTAATTCTTGTCCAAGCACTTGGTGCAATAGGTAACAGGGTTTTTTGTAAACGATTGAAACATAACTACAATTAAGAGAATTAATTGTATTTANCTTATATAGTTTGGGGGATGTTTATTATCTCCCCAGTTTTGTAACTTTGTATCTTATTAGTTTTCGTCATTAATAAATGACAATTTCAGTCATATGGACTTATCCTACTTAATTTGGAGCAAAAACAGAGCTTCGTTGTGCTTGTGAACATTTGGCTACATAAATAGTGTTTTCAAGTGTAAATAGACATTTCTGAAATAACTTTGCACCACAAATAACCACTACAATTTTCAAACTGAGTAATACACTTCCGCAGCTGAGAGTTTTCCATTTGTGACGGTAATGTCTGTTCTGTCTTTTTGGGGGGTTACATGATGAGTTATTTTTTATTCTCCATGGTTCCAGGGCAGTGAAACTAGTACATGTGTACTTAGAAACGAACTTCTTCATGTAGCACTCATAAGGTAATGTTTGGGTGTATATCATTGTTGTCAGAAAATGGAATGAGTTTTTCATTGCATGTAATTGTGCCAGAGTGAAGATTTGAGTGTTAGATGAGTCACTATGGAGGTGATTTCCTCATGCACTTTTATAGAAATATATTTGAGTGCATGGTATGGTTGCCATACGTGACAGAATTGTTTATACTTCACTTGTATTATATAGTCTTCTGAAAAATTCAATAAAATTGAATGACTTTTAAAATTACTTTTTCAGTTGGAACCGAACGGTGGTTTCTCTCTCTCTCTTTGGTCTGAGAACTGTGGTTTTTCTGAAGTAGAAGGGAACAGAGTTTGTAGTTGAGTAGAAATGTCAGATACATTACTAATGAAGTTGATTATCTAGAACAAAACAGAATTCCTTCTAAATTTACTACAGCATGCATTGGACATAAGATCAAATATATGTATGTTTTTATCACTTGCAAAACTTAGAGTACAAATCAACACATTAGAGACGGACAGTCAACAACATTACATTATTAATTGCACGGTTCAATATGTTATGATTTGGTGATTTAATGGCAACAATTATTTTTAATTTACAAATTGATTTCAGTATCTATGTAAAGCACGATGATTATGCAAAGCACGTTTGTTTCTTTTCAAAAACAATTTACAGCCACCACAGAACAGATTTTCATTTATAATTGATCAATCTCTTCAGGACAAGTTTATTTATTTGCATCTAGTCTGAAACCATGTACCTAAATACTGTGACCTTCCCTCCGCTCTGAGACACTGCTAAGTCATCATCATGGTTGATAGTTAAACCAAGTGGATGCTGCAGCCTGTCCTCTTTAGTTGCTAAGAACTGGAGAAACTCACCATCACTTGATGTGAATTTTGCTGGTGTTACAGTCAGCAACCATAAAGTTATCATACTGGTCAACACAGACACCGCGTGGTCCACAGAGATGATTCTGTCCAGAACCAGTGTAGGTGTGGAGCAGTGGAGAGAATGTTGACAATGTTGACTTGTTTAAGTTTAGGCTGAGCAACAAGGATGGTAATGGAGTTGGTAACATGTATACCATCAGGACCTTTGATATCCACTTCTTTAGTGAGGTTTGATTAGTCCTGTGACATGAAGATTAGTTTATTGTTCGCATATTCAGAGACCACTATGGTACCATCAGGTAGTAGGCCTACTGCTATACCACAGGGTCTGTTTGACCTGCTACCAGCCTTGGATTGCTGCACAAGGAGTTGTCCATCTGAGCTGAATCTGCACACTATGTTGTTTTCATAATCCACCACCAGGTACTGTATCCCTGCCGAGGTTTTGAACAGGTCATCAGACTGCACGGGCGTTTCCAGTTTGAATCAAACTCACTAACCATGTGTGGTTTATTTTTTGAACTGTGTCTTCCGTGTCACATTCAACGGTCCACGTGAATTAATGCCTTGAATAATTTGTCTTTTTTGTTGTATCTTTCCAAGTCCTGTCCCCTTGTTCACTTCTCTATCAACATCATTGTTGGTCTGTAGTTGTAGGCTGAGGTGTTGTGGGATATCACCTCCACCATATGGCAGCAGAAGCTCCTGTAACCTGTCTTCTACTTGCTGCTGTAGAATGAGGATCTCGGTTGTAGTACCACGGGACAGGATGCTACTCACTAGATCTGAGGTGCTCTTCATGGTTGACGTGGTTACCTCACTGCTCTCCATGTACAAGGTGATGTTTTTCTTATGAGCCTCGCTGACTTGCTGAACTTCTTGAAGAAGCTTTATCTCCTGCTGCTGAATCTGTTGCTGAAGGTGGCGACTGTGGTCTGAAATATCCTTCATCACAGAGCTGGTATTGGTACCAAAGTCCCTAAGCACACCCTGCAGGGTGGTTAAATCGTTTTCTTGTCCGCTGATCTTGTCGACTAACTTCTCCAGCATGGACGCCAGTTTAGGCTTCACTGTTTCTATGGCAGTATCCAGGGATGTGCACTTGTGCTCATCATGAGTGAGGACCTTGCAGTCACGGCAAATGGGTATCTGGCACTTGAGACAGAAATACCTAATGGGTTCTTCTTTGTGTTCAGGACAGAAGACACGCTGGAATTCCTGGAGCTCTTGTTGGTGTTCCCCACTATGCAGCTGCNTATTGATTTTAAATAAAAATAATTATTTAATTAACATTACCAGTCATGCTCAATACATCAATAAAAAAGGATATTACTTAATAACACAACCTTATGCGGGTAGTAGGCTACCGGCACTTATATATATTTACTGACAACTCTTCTGAAATTACGGACATAAGAAAACGCACTTTGATAAATCATACTTTTTAGGGGCACTTTCTTGCTATGGAGCTCTCTTTCCAAAACTTTATAAGTTTTGCCAAGATCAATTAACCTTTTTACGTGTAATTCTTTTTGAGGCAACTCGTCTATCTTTAGGGGCCTAATTACTGTGCCTGGGTCAAGTTGTAACTGTCCCTTTAACATGGAAGGTGTGTTGACATGGGCAACCCTTCACTTCAAATGAAGCCCTGAATCCTCAAGAAAATTATGCCCACCTTGCCGACTTTGGCATTCAGGTACACAACAATACTGAGGCATGTTTTTTAAGGCCAGTACCACAGTCCAACGTATACAATATCCAACATGGCGACTGTGGAAGGACTGAATTCACACTAGCGACACCTGGCGCCAAGCGGGCTGGTATTCCTCATTGCTAGGCAGCGACGGCCCGTGTGGAGGAAGTAGACCTACAGGGAGACCCTTAGGGGATTAGCGTCATTACTTTTAAGTGAGTCGGCCATATTTATTCCACAGATCTGTGAGTCTGCAGATTAACTTGTTGCGCTCTAAGAGCGGACTTACAAATCCGAGGAACAAATATGGCCGGCCAACTTGAATGCTTGCTGCGTAATCCCCGCGGGGAATCTATTCAGAGTCTATTTGGGAATTCAGCGGAAATTTTTTTTTTTTTTTTTTAGCTTTTTCGTACTTAGTTGTTTCTGGTGATACATTTTTTTTTATTTTCTTGTATCATTTTCCAAATATGTTGTATTGATTCATTCCTGGTAAATTAAAGCTGACATAAGGACTTCTTAGTAATAATTTAAACTCTAACTCAAAGGTTTTTGCGTCATGGCTAATACGTAACGTATATTCCCAGCAAATCGACAGAAAAAAAGATTATTCTTGTCCAAGCACTTGGTGCAATAGGTAAGAGGGTTTTTATTAACGACTGAAACATATAGTGTTTTCATGTGTAAGTAGACATTTCTGAAATAATTTTGCACCACAAAAACCACAAAAAGTTCATTTTATGCTTCTTTTGGTGTCAGAATGCCGATTTTATCCTTCTTTTAAATATACAGTGACAAACTAGAATCGCACAAAAATAATTAATCGCTCTATACAGAAAATTGCAATGTTTTTTACAAAAGTATAAGTTTAGAAGAAAAAAAAAGAAAAGCAGTGTTGATAGAATTTTCAAACTGAGTAAAACACTTCCGCAGCTGCAAGTTTTCCATTTGTGACAGTAATGTCAGTTCTTTTTTGGGGTTAGGTGATGAGTTATTTTTTATTCTCCATGATTCCAAGACTGTAAAACTAGTTTGAAACAAACTTCTTCATGTAGTACCCATAACGTAACGTTTGAGTGTATATCATTGTTGATATTGCATGTAATTGTGACAGAGTAAAGATTTGGGTGTAAGATGAGTCACTGTGAAGTTGATTTCCTCGCGTACTTTTTTAAAAACATCACAATGTATGTTTTCATTTGAGAGCGTGGTAGGGTTGCCTTCAAGTTTTTCTCACACGCAAAAAGAGATGGCATATGTGACATAATTATGTTTATACTTCAGGAATATTATATAGTCTTCTGACAAATTCAATAAAATAACTATGACTTTTTTGAGCTGGAACTGAACGGTTGTCTTCTTTCTCTCTCTCTCTCTGGTTTGAGAACTGTGGTTTTCTGAAGAAGAAGGGAACAGAGGTTGTGTGTATCTCACTCTCCTCCCGGCACCGCTTCTTGTTAATTGCTGAATGTTAATTGCCATTTGTTATAATTACTGATGTAGGTAATTGTCTAAACAGTGATAATAAAAAAAGTTTTTTGAATCATTTTATAAGCATTTTCGATACAAAATTGCTGTGTTTAACATATTTGTTTAAAGTCCGTAAATTGTAAAATGAGAAAAATAATCAAAAATCGACATGCGTTTTGTTGTAGCTTAAATATAGCTTATTTACATATAGTATGTAATAACTTAAAATTACGTAAGATTAGAAATGTCAGATACAGTATATTACATTACTAGTGAAGGTGATTATCTTGAACAAAATAGAATTCCTTTCTAAATTTACTACACGCACTGGATATATGTTGGTGATTTAATGACAGCAACTATTATTAGTTCACCATTTAATTTCAGTATCTTACAAACAAATAAACACACGTATCACATCCTGCATACTTGTCCAAAGTCATATTTAAACTAAAAATGATTACTACCTGGCAACTAGAAATATCTTGATCAATTTTTATACTGCTACCATGAGGCTACCCTTCAACTATAATGAAATTCGGTAAAAAAAATAGGTCAGTCATAATTGTAATCATAGGTAGTAAGGCACGTTTGATCCTTTTCAAAATTGATCAATCTCTACAGGACACGTTTATTCATTTGCATCTACTCTGAATCCATGTACCTAAACACCTTGATCTCCCCTTCGTCCTGAGACACTGCTATATCACCATCATGGTTGATAGTTAAACCAAAAGGAACTTGCAGTCCATCATCTTCAGTTGCTAAGAACTGGACAAATTTACCATCGATTGATATGATGTGAATTTTGTTGGTGCTGTGGTCAGCAACCATAATGTTATCATACTGGTCAACACAGACTCCACATGGACAACAGAGTTTATTCTGTCCAGAGCCAGTGTAGGTGTGGAGCAGTGACCCAGTGGGACTCAGGATGAAGACTGCTTTAGCATTCATATCAGAAACAACAATGTTTCCATTGTTAAGAACTGTCACACACCAAGGCCACTGAAAGCTACTGTGCTTTATGGTATCCACTGTGACACCGTGAGTGTTGACAATGCTGATTTGTGTAAGATCAGGCTGGGCAACCAGGATGGTATTGAAGTTGGTGCTATGTAAATCAACAGGTCTCTTCATATCTATTTCTTTAGTGAGAGTTAAGTCCTGTGACATGAAGATTAGTTTGTTGTTGTTATATTCAGAGACCACTATGGTACCATCAGGTAGTACTGCTACACCAAAAGGGCTGCCTAGCGACCTGTTACCAGCCTTGAATTGCTCCACAATGAGTTGCCCATCTAAGTTGAATCTACACACTTTGTTGTTATAGTAATCCACCACCAGGTAGCCCTGCTGCGGTTTGGCAGGGGTGGTCAGACTATATGGACGGCTACAGTTTGAATCAAACTGACTAACCAAATGTGGTTTTTCTTTGATCTGTGCCTTCTGTGTTACAGTCAATGGTCCACGTGAATTAATGCCTTGAATAGCTTGTCTGTCTTGTTGTATCTTCCCAAGTCCTGTCCCCTTGTTCACTTCTCTGTCAACATCATTGTTGGTCTGTAGCTGTAGGCTGAGGTGCTGTGGGATATCACCGCCACCAGATGGCAGCAGGAGCTCCTGTAACCTATCTCCTACTTGCTGCTGTAGAATGAGGATCTCAGCTGGAGTACCACGGGACAGGATGCTGCCTACTAGATCTGAGGTGCTCTTCATTGTTGACGTGGTGACCTCACAATTCTCCAAGTACAAGGTGATGTTCTTCCTATGAGCTTCGCTGACTTGCTGAACTTCTTGGAGGAGCTTCATCTCCTGCTGCTGAATCTGTTGCTGAAGATGGCGACTGTGGTCTGAGATGTCCTTCATCACAGAGCTGGTATTGGTATCGTGGTCCCTGAGCACAGCCTGAAGGATGGTTAACTCGTTTTCTTGTATGCTGATCTTATCGTCTAACTTCTCCAGCATGGACGCCAGTTTAGGCTTCACTGTTTCTATGGCAGTATCCAGGGATGTGCACTTGTGTTCATCATGAGTGAGGACCTTGCAGTCACGGCAAATGGGTATCTGGCACTTGAGACAGAAATACCTGATGGGTTCTTCTTTGTGTTCAGGACAGAAGACACACTGGAATTCCTGGACCTCTTGATGGTGTTCCCCACTACGTAGTTGTTCGAATGTGTAGACCTTGTGATTTATTAACATTTTGAAACGAATATGAGACTTAGCACAAGGGCCACAGAGGTACTCACTGCAGTTGAGACATTTGGACACTGCCTCAATATCTTCGCCCTCTACGGCACAGGCACCACATTTCTTCTTCCTGGTAGGTGTGAGCACAGTGTCCTGGAGGCTGTCTATGAAGTAGTTATGGGGGAAGCCTTCAACTCCATCTTTAGGGAGTTTTGTCTCTTTCTGGCACAAGGGACACAGGAAAATGCTTCCTGGAATAAAGAATAATTTACACTGTACTGTTTACTGATACTCTTTAGAGGCATAAGTGTTTTTTTTATATTGCTTGGTTATATGTACTTTATATGTCCCAATTTCTGTCAGAAAAATTTTTACGCTAGTAATGTTTAGTAAAATGTTAATCATTAACACTGTGTATTTGATTTCAAACCTTTTTTATTTTTTACTAAAGTGCTTATTTGGTCAATATAAATATGAATTCAATTGGCTGTAATTTTTGATAATGATTAGGCCCTATGAATTGAAAAGTCGGGTTGATTACGTTTTAAGTTACAGGTAACATTTATATTGATAGTCCTCTCTAAGGAACATTGATAATTATCTAAGATGTAGGAAAGTAGATTAATGGTAGCCTAGATAGAAATTACTAACATAAATGGCCTCTAAATTTAAAACCTCATTTGAAGTTAATATATATATGGGCCGTTGCCAATGTTAGTCGAATGTGCAATTCCCGCCCAACTTAACATTTTTTATGATTTATGAAATGCCATGATAAACTTCACAGTGCCGGTATTTTATATAATGTACAATAGTGCCCAAAGTTAATTTTCCTCATTCTGACATATGACATGNTCAAATGCCTATGAAAATAGATTTTTAAATCTCTTAAACAAAATAACTTTTAGGTTCAAAAATCGTTTATTTCGACTAACCGCTTAAGTAAAACTTTTAAACGTCCGACACTTCCTTAGCATTGTAGGCTACGGTCACTTTACAAGAGTATGTGGCCAATTGTCTTTTTTTACCTCGTAGTTACTTTTTCATAAATTGACGGGGGGCCAACTTATCCCGGGGTCCAACTAGCCCCGGTCTCCCCTATTTTATATTAATGTACAAAAGTGCCACAAGCCTTAATGTATTTTTATTCTAACATGTCACATGTTGCACTTTGTCTAGGCCTATTACAGTTTATCAGGGATGTAGTCGGTCACTAATGTAACAAAGACGAACCGATAAAATTAAGGC